ACACACACACACACACTACTCTCTCTCTCTCTCTCTCTCTCTCTCTCTCTCTCTCTCTCTCTCTTTTGCGGTAATAAGAGAATATTTCCAATGTCTTGCAGATCGTCCGGAACGCCTCAACGTGATACGTACCGAAGTGTAAACGAGTGCAACGATTAATCAAGTGATTAATGATTGTCCCACGACTTGGGGGATAAAGTTGCTCGACTAATCCTTTCGTTCGTATCCGGACGTTGGGAACTTTCCAGACACAGGGTAGCGCGAGGGGGCAAGGTGCGCGACAATAACGCGAATGAATTCGGGAGGAGACGGGATAAGTAGAGTGGATCGAAATTAGAATCGTGTGCAGCCGGTGGAAGAGGGTCGGCGCTCGATCGGGCAGAGACCGGCTGGCCCAAGCGCAGGTTGCACCACTGAAAAGAATTCATTTGCTTAAAGCGATCTTTCGCTACACAGTCCACCTCCCTGTAAAATTGTTTATTACATGGAGGACACTCCGAACGAAAGTGTGTACCTCTGTCCGGTAAAATAATAACGATAATAACGACACGCGCGCGCGCGCACGCACGCACTCTCGAGGCATTAACGATATCGAAAATGATTTGTAATAATCGATCATAGAGCGTCAGCGAGGAATATCGACGGGATTCCGATACCGGCCGGATGTTTTCGAATGTCCATCTTTATTTGAGCCGGCGACAGACGTCAATTTGAAGCGTAACGGTGAGTAATCTGGACCTCCATGCATCTTCCTCGACGAGCGACGAATGCCGGGATGTAATCGACAACGATAGTTGCCGAACGTTAACAAATCACAATCAGGGCAACGGGAGAAATTGCGTGATCGGAAAACGGCGATAAAGCAAGGAAGACTGCGTGACGAAATCGTTACCGTCGAGAACCTATAGTTTAGGAAGAGTTTGATGGATGTAAGAGAAATAATGGTAATGTAGCGACCTCAATGAGAGAGCAATTGCACACCCTCAAGTCTGAGAACGATAAAGTTAAGAGAGGGTAATCGAAGGCAACCACGTGAAAACAATCGGCCGCTGTTGAACTCGATATCGCGACATAATAAAAAAACTACGATATATTTTAGCAACGGATCGATTGAGAAAGGACAAAAATAATGATAGCCATAGACACGAGGATATTATTCTGAAATATTAAATTGGTGTAATAGGTTTGTCTATTTAATTTCTTATTTATCTTCGAGATATCTCTATTTCTGATCTCATTTATTTCCAATTTCATGTATCCTAACAAGTGCACGAAAGTTTTTAAAAATATTTAAATTCAACTCTTATCTGTTGATAAAAATCATTTTTACGCGAAGATCATACGAGATTCATATAATACAAAAATATTGTTTAGAGATATTTTTATTTATTAATTTAAAACGTAATTTATAACAATAAATTAATATAACAAAAGTAGCGCAGAGTATACTTTGACTGAAGTGTTCTGAAGTAACAACAAAACGCTCGGCAATTTCTTTCGTCCCTGATCTAGCAGCGGGACGGCGCAACGAGACGCGGATTAAGGACGCAGTGAAGGAAGCGGAGATTTGTCAGCCAGGCACTTCGATGCGCCTCGACGGCGGGCATTTGGGCCTGAAGGATCCACGCTCGTGCCGGTGAGTTGTCATCCTGCGTCTTCGTCCCGCACGCTCGGCCGGGTCAGGAAACCGGCGCGAGGGGCGGCGGGGCAGGTCCTCTCCGGCGTGGAATGACAATAAGGGGACGCCGTACCTGCGGGGTGGTATTATGCAGGGAACGACGGATTTGAACGTGCCACCCAAGTGCCCGGCGAAGGTGTCGCATCCCCTTCGTGGGATGGCACTCGGGACGCTGGCCGAGATAGCGGTGAGACTCGTGATTAGCGGCTACATATTCGCCGTGGTCGTCTACGTGAACGCCAGTGGCAACTGGGATAAGGACGATGACCTAGGTATGTACGCCTCCGACACTCCGGGCCGGTCGCACGAACGATCGGGATTAACCACTTCCCTGACCCGCGCGAGTGATATTCCTGTCGAGAAGCGTGTCCCAGAATTATCGGTTATTCTCTGATCAACGGACTTAAAAGTCAATTTTCTCGATTTTTTTTTTTTTTTAAATAAAAGATCGACTCCTTACGTCTCCTATGAGTAACTTTCTAATTTACAGCATTACGTTTTCCTCGCGACTCGAGCCTCAAGAGTCGAGAGACTGTTAACGTGCGTTTAAAGTTACAACTGGTAAACATACTCGTTTACTTGGCAGCGAAATAATATTTACCGTTTCCTCAAATAAGCTTTACTTTAATAGAATTCCATTTCTGAAATTGGAGATACATGTTTAATTTAGTTTCGAGCAAGGGGAGGGGTTCTCCAATCGTTTTAATTACTCGAAAACTATCGGTTCCTCATTGTTCACGTTGGGGAAAATACCGATATCAAGTAGCAGCGGAATGTGTGGCTAAAAATTTATCCAGTGATTTTCGGGCACAAAACGATCGTTTGTTATTTCCTCTTTTTTCCCTAGCGAAAATATAAAAAAATGTGGTAAAAAAAGAGTTCGTTACGAAAAGATATATGAATGCGTATGCATTTCCACAAAAAAATGTATTTTATTTTGATCGTTATTAAAAGAGAGAGGTGGGAGAGAAGAAAATTGAATAATAAAAAGCAAAAAAGATGCCGCGGTTGGTTTCCCGCAAAAACATCCGGAAAAGGAAGTGGTTAAGTGAACTGCGCTTAGCGATTCCCTGCTTTTCTGCAGATTATATTATTATTTCGAGGTACGATACGTATTATTAACGGAGATTAACAAAGAAGGAAAATTTTCTTTGATCAAAGATCAAAATCACAATAGATTCCTTAATTCTGCTTCTGATAGTTTCGTTTGCCGTCTCAGCATGTCCGGCATAGAATGGAACTCTATATGGCTTTTGCCGTGCACAAAATGGAACCCAATACGTATTTCATAAATGCATATTGAAAAGTGGAAAACTGACAAAGTCATGAAATTGAAAACTGTTAAAATCGATATTTACAAAGTTATGGCATTTTTAAAATAAAACTGGGTCAAAACGCAAAAGCGAGATTGAATATTCCCTTAAAACGATGATAAAATAATAAACAAGTTCCCATTAATGCGCGCGGTTGGAATGTCTTGATCAAAAGTGCGGGGCTTTTACAAGTTTTGAATTTATAATCCATCCCACTTACAACTATTTAAAAATACTCAGTTGTGTTTTGGAATTCTTTCCCCCCTTCTCCTTCCTCAGTTACGCGAATAACTATCTTATCTTGGACTTTTATTCGGAGCTATTTTCCAGTTATTATATATCCGCGCCTTGTCAGTTTTCATTTATATCTTCGAAATGCCCCCAGCATAAAAAATGACACGCGTTTAAATAGATGGAACAGATAATAATCGCGTTGATACGATGTTAAAAAAGATAAATGGCTCGTAGCATGTACATTTTTCATCCGGGCGTCACAAACAAACGTAAAAGCGATATCCTGCCGGAAGAGTTCGTATTCGTGTTACAGACGTCGTTCGATTGATGAAAATTGCGGCGTATTGGAAAACGGGAAATCACAGACGCAGCTTGTTGCGATACCGGAAATCACTCAGAGCGTGAAACTTGCTCAAAGAAATGTTACGCGCCGTAATTATATTTCGCGCTGCCGGGTGGAAACACTCCATTATGCGCGAAAACGAACTTCATTAGTGATATTTTTCAAGCTGCTTTCCCGGTCTCTTTATTCGTAAGGAGCAAAGCAGCTTCCTTTTTATATCGCGAACCGGGACTCTTTCTCGCGTCAGAATGGAATGTTAAATTGGAGGGAAATGTCCCTTAAGATATCTACACATTCTTGATGCGACTTTATTTCGCGAAACGTAATGATGTTACTCGCCCAGAGTTCACAATCCTCGCATAGCCGCATTTTACTTCAGGGTAATTTAAAATCACGCCAAACAATAAAAAGGAAAAATTTAATCCCAAGTTTTTTCGTTGCTAAATCTCATCTACATGAACCGCTTATGTATGAGTAATTTTACTTATATTATAATACTTCCTATTAATTTAATAACTTTCCGCGACACTACAGCTAATAGTAACAACTCATTTAACTTATTAGCCATATAATTAGCGGTTTACAATACGTCCTAAGTTATTAAATACAACAGCCTTCGAATTTACATTAAAATTCAAAGCTACATAGTATTATATAATAGCGCGTTCGTCAGAATTATTAACTCAATTATTAAGCGACCCGTAATGCTTGCTTCTAAGAAAACAGAGGGAGTATTACAAGTAAAATTATTCAAAGCGTTGAAGTTAATGAGATTTAACCAGGAAAGAAAAGTCACATTGTTGTTTACAGCGAGCTCCAAAGAAACCATTAAAAATCAGAGACGCTGAATAGATTCCGTAATTTCTTAAATCTTAATTTTAACCATTAAAAACAGCAGCTATTAAAATTGTTATTCACATTTCAACAAGTTATTTAGCCGCTAATTACCATGCAAAATCCTTTCGCAAATAATGTGGACTGTTTTTATTAATCACGTTGAATGCCGCACACAGGTAGCGTTTGATTTCGAGTAAACTTTTCACAAATTTATTTAAACATTACACGTTGTTACACGTCCGATGCAATAAATAAATAAGTCTCGAGCATTATAAAATAACGCATGATGAAATAAATGCTTGTGTTTTGTGCATATTCTCATATCTAATTAAATCTCTGTTAATTTGTTGAGTTACGCATGAACCGAGAAGATATGCCGCGGGATTGTTTGATAATTACCGCGTTGCTCGACGCACGTTAATCACATTTCTTCAACTTCCTCAGTGTCCACATCTAAGGTCAGCGCCGTACTCGGTCGTACCGCCACTTTGCCTTGCGACATTGAGCCGTCCACGCGAGAGGATCGCGTTTACATGGTGCTTTGGTTCCGTGATTATGCGGTGAAGCCCATTTACAGGTAAACGGCTGCTGCGCCAACTAAAGACCTCACAGATATATCACACTCATTTTTATGTACATACAATAAAAAAAATTATAGCTTATTCTAGGACGCATTTAACAATAAATTTCGTGAAGATTTAAAACCTGAAGCAAAGATTATTTAAAGTAGAAATGTGCTTTAATTTCATTAAAAAATAATGACAAAAGTCAGCTGCTGCGCCGACCAGAGACTTTACAGATGTATCACACCCATTTTTACAATGAAAAAAATTATAGCTTATTCTAGGTCGCATTTAACAATAAATTTTGTAAAGGTTTAAAACCTGGTTAATAGGTTTTTTATTACCTATTTTTATTTATAATGAAAAATTTATAAATTCTAGATCACATTTAAAAGTAATAAATTTTACAAAGACCCTGGATTAAAAATTATTTAAAATAGAAATGTACTGTAATGTAATTAAAAAATAATGACAATCTTTTTATATAAGTATTTTAATTCCGAGATGATTTATGTAAAGCTTTATTGCGATGCAGAAATTAGTTGTAAATAAAAAATAAATTTTTATTAAGAGTACAAACGCAACGAGATGGTACAAATAAAATAAAATAAAATTTTTATTTACAGAACATCTCTGCATCGCAACAAAATTTTAAATACATTACAAATAATCTTGAATGTTTCAAGTACTTGTATTAAAAAATTTAGCTTTTTATCATTATTTCTTAATTACATTTCCAGACCGCACTTCTATTTACTTATTTAAATAAATTTTTATCAAAATTTTAAACCGCTGCTAACCTTCATTGTATTACTTTTAAAATGCGACCTAGAACAACGTGTAATTTTTTCATTGTCAATATAAAAGTTATAAAAATGGATGTGATATATCTCTCTGAAATGGGGGAAGACAGGGAA